AGACAGAGTGGGTGAGGGGAGGGGTGAGAAAGAGAGAGAGGCTTTCTGGTGAAGACTGGGTAATAAATTACAGGAGCAGTTCTTGGGTTGCCAATTTAACACCATAAATCAAGCCCTGGGTATTACCCAAGTGCTCCCTACGGAGGGCTGTCGGGTCAGAACGACCACCTTTTCAAATACTGGAAATGAAATCTTCCTAAATGCTGACCAACCTCATCCCTGCCAGAAATGGCAATTTATTGCCTTATTAAAGGGCAGGAATTGGGAGGGGACGGCAGGGGAGCGAGAGGGGAGTCACTCTCCTGGCTGCCTGTGGCCGGACCCCAAACTCTCAGTCCCCAAAGGGATGAAGTGACCCCCTTCCCCCTCACCTCATAGCCCAGATGGGGATGCCCTCGTGTTGGTGAGGGCCAGCAGTGCTCTCTTTCCCACCACATGCTCACCACAGGAACCAGGGACTTATTCTGGACTGCACTTAGGTGGTGGATTTAGGAAGTCACAGCACAGTCACAAATGATGAAGAGGAGGATTTAAAAATTGTTACAGCTCTAAGCACCCACTTCCCTCTGTGGTGCCTCATGGAATGGTGGGGGAAAGGAAAAGGGAGGGCATGGGTGTTTGCTTCCAGGGCACTTTCCAAGGGCTCCTGCATGGACCAGTGCTCCCACTGCACAGGGGACAGGGCACTGAGGGTCCTGCTGCCAGCCCCAGCTCTGCGGGGATTTGCTCGAGAGAAGGAGCTTCCTGTTCTGCCCAGTGCCAGGGGTGCTCCTGTTCTCTCCAGCTGCAGAGGGGACAGCCAACACTCACCTTGAGGGATGATATGGGATGAAAATATATCCAGAGCCAGCCAAACCCTGCCCTGCCTTACCTTGGAGGGAAGAACTAAAAGAGGGAGAAGCAGCATGATGGAGCCATTAAAAATGATACCTGGGCTGGAAGGAAGGATGAGATTCCTGGGACTGCAGAGAGAGGGTGGCTGCCTGGCTGCTGTGTATGAGGTGGTTTTGTCATAGATTCAGATTTTCCACTCCACTGAGAACTGACCTGGGTCTTTCAGACCCTCGTGTGCAAGGACAGTGAGTCCAGGACTTGATGGCCTCTTATCACAGCCTCCCATCAGAACATTGCATTCCCCCTTGTACCAGAAGTCAGCTGCTCTGGAGATGCATTTCATGTCCCTTGGCCAGCCCAGCTGCCTGCCTGGGTGACTGGCTGGAGCAGGGGACAGGTTGTGAGCCCTGGGCTGATGCCACTTACTGACCCCAGTGTTGCTGCTAACCACAAACAGGGGCACAGCAAGAAGATTTTAACTTAGTTATTCGTTCTTCCTCCTCCTAAAAGCCATAACCTGCTTGAAGTGGTCATAAGAATAGTCCTTAAAACACAGTAAGAGAAAATAATAGTGAAATCTCCCCATGGCTGTGTTAGGAAGCATGCTGGCTGCACGGATCCAGAGGTCGAGATGCACAGTAGCAATAAAGTTCACTGATTTAGACAGATTCTTCTGTCTTGTTGGAACAAATTAACTGTGTGAGATTCACTCGGTGTCCATGAGAGGAATGGGGGGAGCAGGAAAGGGGCTGCTGTTGCTAGAGGAGATGAGCAGGATGAGGCAAGCCAGGTGTTGAGATGCTGCTGACTACGGAAAGTCCTGGTTTAGGGCCACCTATGAGCTAAGTTTTTAATGTCTCCTTAATGTAAACGGTCTGGTTGGGACATCTGGCTGTCAGTGTGTCTTCTTGCCAGCAGCTGTTTGCAGTAACCTGTGGCTTTCATGGAAACTGGGCTCACGAGGACCTCAGTGTGATGTATTTATTACACAGAGGCAATCAACTCCTCTCTTGTCGCTCCGTTTTATGAGCGAACATTTGCTCTGAAGCTGAGGCTCATCTGATAAACATTTCAAGGTACAAAAATGCATGTCCCCCTGGGAAGGAGAACAGTCTGTCAATTAAAATCCTGTTATGAGATGGCCTCCCTTGGCAAAAAAAAAAAAAAAAAAAAAAATCCTTGCTCCCTCCTGCTATGTCAGTGCCTCTGCTTCCTGAGAAGCCAGGCTGGATGGCAAAGCTTCATTCTTGTCACGAGCCTGGCACTGGCTGCCTTGGCTTTTATAGATCCATCCCCTTGGCTGCAAGTCACACATTTCTCAAGTACAGAACAGGGCAGAGGAGTGCTGTGAGGAGCTCCCCTGGCTCAGTGAGAACAACAGACAGCAGCCAAATTGACCATGGGCTCCAGATGTAGCTGGGTCCTGGAACTGGCAGCTTAAATATCACCCTGCTGTCACACAGCTTGATGCAGGTATCGGGTTAGACAGCATCCTTCAGTGGGTTGGATCTCAAGTAACAGGGGAAAATAAAGATGTAAGAAGAAGCTGATGGCTCCCAGGGATTCAGAGTAAAAAGAACAATTGCAGAGGACAAACAAGCCTGCAGTGTCATCAGAGGGAAGGCAGGGGGAAGGATGAGAATTGTGCTAGAGGCCAGTGAACTACCAAAGAAACTATGACCAAGGTCATCTCTGGAGGAGGACAAGCCCCAGGCCAGCTTGGATCTATGTCCAGGAGGGGTGTAAATAGTTGTGAGCTGTCATCCTGGCACTATGGAGAGATCCTCAGCCACATCCAACAAGCAAAGAGGAACAAAAGGAGAAGGAAAAACTTTTCCAGCTCTATATGACACCCTTTGCCCCTACTCCTCAGTGTTTCCAAGCGCCCAGCTCATTCAAAGCATCACCCACATGGTTCAGGCTCGGTGATACAAACACTCATGCAAAGACCACCCAGCTGCCAGATGTCCCACCAGCATTCATGCAAGGACTGAGCAGGACCTGGTGGTTCAAGAGGATGCAGGACAGCTTGGTGAACACCAAGAGGGGACTTCTCTTAGCTACAAAGAGAAGGCAGGCAACCCCCAGTGGCCAAGCAGAGGGGTGCTGTGGGCATGGAGCAGGGCAGGACACAGGGAAGGGACAGGTACCTGGGCCCCAGCTCATCCTCACTGCGCCAGACAAAGTCTCCAAACTTCTCATAGTGGGAGTTGTAGTGGTGCTGGACTCGGAAGAGCATGGAAGCAGAGACCTCCATCAGGGTGTTGTAGGCTGTCTGCTGCTCCTTCCCGCTCGTGTAGCCGTTGTAGAGGTTGTAGATTTTGTCAGCTATCTCTGGAAAGGATCAAGGCATGGGATTAATGACCAGCTGAAGATGCTAACATGGGAAGAGGAGGAGCAGAGCTCTTGGCAGGGCAGGGGCAGGCAGCTGGGGTGGCTGCCAGTCCCTTGGGGCTGCCTGCAGCAGGGTTCAGAGACTGCAGAGCATTCAGCAATTCCTCAGGCTGATCCTGCAGTGGGTCCCCTGCACAAGCAAAGCTGTCCCAAAGATTCCAGCAATACTCCATGAAGGAGCAGCAGGAGGAGAGGCAAAAAGCTGCCAGGACAGGCAGACAGCCTTGTCCTCCCAGGAAGGGCTGGCAAGCTCTTCCCCAATTCACCAAACCAGAAGCCATTTGCAGCTATGGTGCTAAAGAGTGGGAAGAAAGCAATACTTGATCCAGGATGGCCCTTCAGCCAGAAATGCAGCATGTCATCATTGTGGGCATCAGATGGAGCAGCTCAGATGTGTTAAACAAGAGCAGAGTTAACTCTCTGCTGTAGAAAAAAAAATCTCTTTTTGGAGATGAGAAATGCACAAAACTGCATCTCCTTCTTTCTCCTTAGTCTCCTGTTTGCTGCTTTTCCATGGGAATATTTTTCTTATTGAACATGGAACTAAGCCCGAACCAAAATATTTTTCTGTGTCATATTCCCAACGGAAAGCAAGCAATAAAGAGAACAGGTAACATGATGGTCACACAGAGGAATCCTTTTAAATCTGAAAGCAGCCAGGTGCTCTGGTTTGAGTGTAAGGACAAGTGGGATCAGTTTCCAAACTAAACAATGCAAATGTGCAAAAGTAGCCGGGCTTTTATCAACATTTCTGTTTCCAAACTGATTTAGCTGTCCCCAGCATCCCTTCAAACACTCAGAGCCAAAGGTGCCCTGCATGGCCCAGCCAGGGCTGCTTCTCTCAGGTTTGAGAGAAGGGATTGTTCTTTTTCCAGGGGGCTTGTGTCAGACACACAGAACCAGCTCCCACAGCCGTGCATGGCAAGGATGCCTGTGTGGCATCATGGAGCCATCAGCTGCCAGCCAAGGAGCCTTTGCCCCTGGACACTCCTGCAATTTGTCACCCCTGCCCACATGAACGTCCCTGTGCCCGTGGGTGAATTTAAAGGAGCTTTCTCACTGGGAGAGAAGGGCCTGGGCAGGTTTGTGGGAGCACAGTGAAGAGAGGAAAATCAAAATTAGCAGGAAATGTCTCCAGTGCAGAACACGAGGCACCTGAGAACTGACCTTCTGCCTTGCTGTCGTCTACCAGCGGGCACGCTGTCCTCAGGGTGACTGTGCTCAGCTCTGAGTGTCTCCCTCGTGTATCCACTGCATACAGGGTGAATCTGGAAGGCAGGAAGCAAAAGGAAAACAATGTCTTGATCCCTGAGTCCCACACCATCAGGTTGTTAAGGGAACCAGCCTTCAGAGGTGAAAGGAAAGATGTGGTCCAGACATAATCAGTCAGTTTTGGCATCTCAAGGAGAAGTGAGATGATCTCCTGGAACAGAGGAGAACCCAGGGATAGGAGCCACGGCTGAGAGGACAGGACACTTCATCCCTCTCTGGAATCCGTGGGGCTCCATTTCCTCTCCCCTCATCCCAGAGACCCCTGTGGGGCTGCACCCTGAATCCTCCTGACTGCAGGGAGATGCAAACACCTCAGGGCTGCTCTGCCATGCACTGGTGTGAACATTATAACACTGTGGTGTTTGTGAGCCTGGCTCCTCTCTGGCCCTTCTGGGAGCAGGGCAGTAATTCTTGCCATAAGTGGCTCTGTGCTGACAAGTGACAGCTCGTACTCATCCTGTGAACGGCCCTTGAGTTGTTTGCTCCCTCATTTCCTCACAAGGGTGGGGCTGGCAAAAGGGTGGGAATGATAATTTCACACTTGAAGCTAATGGAGAGCATCTGAGAGTAAAATATGGCTTTTGTGCCTGATGGAGCATTGAATAAACAGGCTGTGGCTGCATGGAACATCCCAGATGCTGAGCTCAGAGTCCTGCTCAGGGCATCAAAGCTCCAAGATGAGAATGTTTCTTCGCAGCAGGGGTGACAATCTTCTGTCCACTCTCCCAAAGGGCATCAGTTCATATTTATTCACTCCGAGCTGGGCATGGCAACTCAAGCTGGCTTTGACAAAGTGCAGGGGCTGGTTTGAACCCCTCAGAGGTCTGAGATGCCTGGTGGTGGGTACCCAGCCTGAGAAATAACACACCACCCCTCCTTTGCCTAAAGTAAAACTGACCAGCTCTTGCAAGTGAGTGCAAGGAGTATAATAAAAGCAGATGAAGCTTAAATGGGATTGAGACCCTGAAGTATGTTTATTTAAGGAATGGTCCTAAGTCCTTAGCATCCTTGGGGGTGACAGAAGCAATGCCTCCCTCTTCCTCATCCCACACACGAGCACTGCCAGCCCCCTCTCTCCTCCCTGCAGGCCCTGCACATCCCACATGTGGCTGATAAGAGCTGACATTTGCACGGTAGCAATTCTCAGCACAGGACATATTCCCTCCAAGCAATTAGCATTAGCTCCCTAACAATACTTGCTGTTTGAAAGGATGCCAGCACACTGCCAAGGAACTCACTTGTGTGCAGGGACAACTCCCATTTTCACAAAGCTGGGGCACGAAGGGGATGCACATGCTGGGCTCACCCGTGGAGATGCTATTTCATCCTTTTGGTATGACATCATTTTCCCTAATTTACCAGGAGCGTTGCTCAGAGTGGGAGCATCTCAAGAAGGACATCCACACTTCACAAGTACCACACACAGGCTGTTCTCACTGAGGGGCACACAGAGCAATAGGGCAACACAGAATTCCAGGCAGGAGTCTGACTGTAGGGCTTTGCATCCTATCCTGAAAGTGCCACCGGTCCTTTCCCTCCCTTCAGCAGACAGGAGGCTCAAGGGGAACGAGGAGTCTCCAGCTGGGAGCAGGGAAGCTTTGTGTCTTAGTACTGGGCAGGGGGGCTCCAGCCCCAGGAAATGAGGAGCTGCAGCAGGAGGACAGGGCAGGGACCCCAGTGCTGCCCACCCACTGCAGGGCTTTTCTTGCACAACAAGCAGTAAGAGGGCTGGACATCAGGGTAGTGCTGGGAGCTGCTCCCCATCCCCATCCCGGGGTCACCTGCTGAGCCACAGTGGCTGTGCTGCTGTGTTTGCTTTGGGAAAAGGGTGAGCAGAGCTAATGTGTAACCTCTGCTCTGCCTGCAGCAGCTCAGGCTGGCTCCATTAGCTCTGAGGCAATCAGTGCCAGTGCACTTTCCTTGGAAAACAGAAGACTTGTATCAAAACATAATTGTAATATTCAGCAATTAGTGTCCATGTCACCTATTCCATCGCCAGTGGGGTCAGGAGGATTGGTTGAGTGTTGAAGCACATCCACCCTTTTGGGTGATGCTGAAGACCTGCGTGAGCAATTTGACTGCACTTCTCCCCTCTGCCCAGCTCACACAGGAACAAAGTCACTCAGCTGCCAAGAGCATCCCTCCTGGTCAGGCCTGGGTTAAAAAATAGATGTCAAAATAAACAAGCTCTTTTCTCTTTTTTTTTTTTTTTTTTTTGATGATGTAATGAAAAAAACCCAACAATGTAAATGGAAAAACATCAGAATCAAAGTGATTTTGATCTTGTAAAAAATTATTTTTCTGAGAACAAACCCAATTGCTTTACCTCACCTGGAGCCAGTCTTCTTTCAAGAACCTTAGAGGAAACTCTTTCATCTCCATTCCTTGTGAATGAGATGTTTTGGACCCAGCACCAATCACCCCAGCCGTGGTGGAGGCTGGCAGCCCAGCAGCACACAGCCTCTGCACCTCTCCAACTCCTTCCAGCCAGTGACCTCAGAAGGTTTTAACATTAATTACAGTCCAAAAGATCACCCTGAAGCACAGCAGTATTAATAGCTCTGTTTTATCGACAGTAAACAGAGACATATGGGGTGAAGCATCGTGCCCCGGCGAGGCTCAGTGACATGAACAGTTTGGAAACTCGGGAGATGATGGTTTCCACTCTTGTTCTCAAACCACTTGACCACCCAGCCTCTGAAGCAAAACACTTTTATGGCCAGTTAATGGCACTGTGCAGAGTTCTGGGGTTTAGTTTTGTTCTTTTATTCCCGGAAACGGACAATTAAGAGAAGGGAGTGCAAAGACCTGTGTATCTGTGTCTCTATGCAAACCCAGCATTCACATGTTACTGGAAACCTTCAGCAGATGCAGGCAAGGAGAGACCACCACGGCATGGGAGGGATGGGGATGTGGCTTTAAGCTGAAGGAGGGTAGGTTTGGATAAGGTATTAGGAAGAAATTCATTACAATAAGGATGGTGAGGTTACCAAAAGAGGTTGTGGATTCCACATGCCTGAGAATGTTCAAGACCACGTTGAAAAAGGCTTGGAGCAACCTGAGATAGTGGAAGGTGTCCCTGCCCATGGTAGAGGGTTGGAAGGAGATGAGCTTTAAGGTCCCTTCTAACCAAACCACCCCATGATTCTGCATCTACATGACAAACCAGGGGAAAATCAAAGTGATCACGCTGAGGGAGGAAGCGAGGACAAGGTGGGATTTTGCAGCACTCCTTGGAGATCCTCTTGCTCCACTTACATCTATTACAGTGCTGTGGGCCAAGGACCAAGCCAGGCATCATCCCCATTGATGAGGATACAGCTGCACTCGAATAGGCCAGCCCTGATAGTTGTAAACAAATGAGGCCAAAGAGCAGCTCTGAGTGCTTTGCCCAAGGCAGAGATCTCTGGGGTGAAGTCAAAGCCAGAAACAAAAAGGTCTCAGACCTACAGATATTGCACAGAACCACGTCAGACAATGGAATGCCATATGGTAGCTACGATCTGGCAGAAGCTCCTCCATAACCTTGGAGGTGTTTTGCCTGGAGCTCCCTGCTACTGTTTCACCAATGATCCTCTTTTTCACCCATGCCTTCAGTAAGACCCTACACAAAGACTTGTATTTCTAGAAATACTAGAATATATTTTACCTGAAGAGGTTTCAAAGAGGCCCAAACACATATGCTGCTGGAGGGGATCAGCCCTCCATGTCTGGAAATGCTGCCACCTCTGCAGCACATCACAGCATACAAAGGCCTATAAAGTAATGCTAATTAAATGTTTATTTCTAAATTCAAACCTATTGGGAACTGAAGGAACTTTCAGGGGGAGATAGAAACCAATCAACATTTGGCCTCATGAAATGTCAATACCTTCCTTGTAGATTCCCCACCCAATGTTGGCTGAAGGCTGAGTTTTATCACTAGGCTCAAGATGCTTCTTGGGGGAGGAAGAGAAAGCAAAAAGGGGATGTAAATGCTTTGGTTCCTGGAACCCAATGACTGTTGAGATTGTCCATTGCATTTCAAGAGATTTAAAACCCATTAAAGAATGTTTCTATCTTTTCTCAATGCACAGAAAATAACCCAAAATACAAATTTATGAAGGCACAAAACTCTAAAGACTGAGAATAAAAGCTCAAAACATGTTACTTATTTATAGACAGCACGTTTTTAAACTCCCTCTCATGATGCTCATGATGTTTGAGTGCTTTACTCATGATCCTTATTTGCGGGAAGCGAGATAAGGACTTCAGAGTCTGACCTTCCTTAGCTGCTGATTTCCTTGTATCCTGCAGAGATACCACAGGCATTTCTGGTCTGCCTTGTCTGCTCTTGCTGAGGCCTTTGGGCTGGTGCAGCTGCTCTGTGAGGTGCTGTACCACAAGGGGCTGCAGAGAAAAGCTCTGATAAGGAGCTCAATTAGCACTCGTGCAGATGCCAAACCCCCACGCTAATTAAGCGTGTGTCTACTGGGAGCTGGCTGCATGCAGCAGCAATGGCTGTGTGGCCAGCCCAGGCTCTGACAGGAGCCCATGTGAATGAAGGAACAAGGCAGAGATGATGCTCCAGAGCCCAGTATCACAAAAAACACGGCCTCAAGCTTTCCAAAGCGGTGCAACCACAAGATGCTCCTGCCAGTGGGGCTTGGCTTGAGCTTGGCTGATCTGCCTGGGCTTGGTGCCGTGTTCCTGCAGCCACCAGACTCTTGCTGTTAACTCCAGCAGCTCGGCGAGGGCAGCCCTGGCTGGCGTCCCGCACACAGCACGACGGAGTCTCCCTCCCCTGGCACCACCCGTCACGCCGAGCCTGAAAACACAAACCCTGCCTCGGCTGAGGTGTTCCGTGCACGTCCTGCCATCGCTCCCCGCTCGGTCACAGCCTGTCCGTGCCTCCTGCACAGCCCGGGCTCGCAGGGCTCGCACGCACCCAGCCCGGGCTGCTCCAGCCTGCTGACACTCACACATCACACCCGGCCTTGCCAGCCCTTCTCGCTTC